ATTTTAGGGCATAACCCCAGTGCAGAACCAATGCTCGAGAGCTGTCTGCTGCCCAACAGCCACAGTTTAACCTTGCCCGTAGAGCGTGTTTTGGCATGGCATTATAGTGCTCTGCCCACGGGGACTACCCTGGGCCCAGAAATCGGTGAGAAGTCTCAGGCAGCAAGGACATGAGCTCACAGGACACCAAGCTGCAACAGTTTTTCTCCTTACAGAACAAATCGGTTTTATTCCCGAGCTGGCTTGATTTTTAATAGTGGGCCTAAACTTGTAATACAATTTTTTAGTACATAAACCATTAGGCATAAGCACACTTTAGTTTTTAAAAAAACTCAACTATCTCAAAAGACACAATTACGTAGCACAGTACCGCAACACAGGTAAAATGCACTGGAAGGCGCAAAATTCACCATATAGGAGCAAATTAAGGCATTACATCCATAGATCTAGGGGGTTTTTATATTAAAGAAACCATGTGCTTGGATTCTGGATAAATTGGAACATGCTATTACCAAGCATGTTTGGCACCAGTCTAGGAGAAAGCTGCTCACCCTCTTTTGTGTTGACAGCACAAATTAACTAACCAAGAGATTGACAGAACATCCACACAAACAAAACCCTAGTGAACGCAATACATTCAGTTCTTCAGCAGCAATCCAACACCGAAGATTAAAGGGAACTGAGAAAGGAAAAAAACCCAAAAATACCAGCGGAGTACTATTCGTGCCTGCACCTACATGTCTTAATAATCACTGGCTTGATTTTTTTCTAAGCTCCAAATTGCTTCTTACACGCACCCCCTGGAACAGAAGAGATTGCTCTTACTTGCTGGCGAAAATTCTCACACCCTGCAGGAGATCACTTTACTCTTATAAACATCTTCAACGCCTTCAAGGAAGCCAGCGCAAACTCCGCAAGCCAATGTAAGTGCACCCACACCAGAGAAAACGCAGCATGTTGTAACCAACTTGTAAAAAAGAAAACAAAAATCTGAGCAGTCATTGTTATCGTTTAGTTCACAAATCCTTTTCGAATGACTCCTTCTAGGATTGTTAATTTGCAAGGAGAAACCTAAGATAGTAGCCATTGCAAACGAATATCGGTTTTAGTTCATTAACTAATTGAAAATGAGCTAGGACAGCGTTCCTCATCCCACAAGGCTACGTAAGCACTAATACAATTGTCATTTGAAATGAGACTGCACAAAACCAGAATGATGGTTCCTTATGTAAGAGCACGTAGTCCAGGTTTAAGATGTGAAATGACATAAACAGAGTTGAGAAGGGACTTGATTCCCCCAGCAGCCTAACAATCCTGGTGTTTTCTGATAGCTGTCAACTGAAAGGAAAATTTCAGACAAAAAAAAATTGAAAGCAGTAAAGTTCACATTTACAGGAAACCAAGTAAGAGCCAGAGGACTGCACAGCAGACAGAAGCTCTTCACAGCATTGCCCTGCGCTCCAACATCTTGCTCAGGTTGGATTGGCCTGAGTCCAGTACTTAAAACAGTGGAGTGATAAACGTGCATATACTCAGTAAAAACTTCAGACAGGGCAGTAGGACTGTTTCACGTTCAGCCATGCTGCACAGAGGTCCAAGAGAATCTTTACCAGCATGCAGCATCACCACCAGCACTACAGTTGTGATTTCAGTTCCATATACTGGCCTGAACCCAGAAAGCCTGAAAATAAGAGTTGCTACTCATTCTGTTTGAAGCTATTATGTTTCACAGACCAAATAAGGGATTCTGTGTATTTTTATTCAGAAAGACAGAGCTAAAATTCTATAAAACTAAGTAAGGGTATCAAGTGTTGCCCACTCACTTTACAATGAGCCTAAGCTGCCCGTATGGCTCTCGTTATCCGAATTTTGGGCAGCTCTGACACAGCTACTTGCTCCAAAACGTTTTTAATCTCTTGCACCAGTGAAAGAGCATTTTATAGAGCAGTATGTCTGTGGATAGCACCTACTAGTAAGACTTTGCTTTAAGCCAAAATACTGTTTTTTCCTCCACAGACTACAGTAATGAGAAATGGTGTCGTGATTATTTTCTAAGCTGCTCTGCACTGAGGATGGCAGAAATTATCAGAGCCGAACTGGTAGAGATTATGAAGCGTATTGAACTTCCCATCTCAGAACCGGACTTTGGATCAAAAGAAAATATACTAAGCATTAAGAAATCTCTCTTATCCGGTTACTTTATGCACGTAAGGAAAAATATTGCGGTTTCATCTTACTGTATTGCTAAGTTATAGAGAATGCTTTCAGACAACTTCTGTTAGGTAGTGAAATCTCTCGATCATCAGAAAATGGTAAAAAACAATTCTATCAATTCAAATCTTCTCTCTGGGGTTCAGCCAGCACACCATGAAGTCCACATGCTTCACTGCAAGAGGAGAACTGGCAATATGCCTTTCACTCAAAGGACTCTCTTACCTCAAAAACCTCTTTAACTTCTAATATTCTCCCAGACATTATTCGCTTTTTGAAAATGTTTTTTCTGAAAATACCCTGGAAACATAGAACTGACTTACTGAATATGTCTAAGTATACATGATATACAGCTTTCTTCATCTCAACCAGATGGGGTACTCTAACTGTAATTGTAAATGTAAACAAGAAAGATTAATTTATTCCCACTTGAAAACCCACTTTCCTCCATGTCACTATGCTCCGCCTAAACACAAGAATGACCCCTCCAGACTACACTACTTCACGTAGTAGTGCCCTGCCACACCTTGTGTTTTGAAGTCTTACAATTTTGGAAGACTACATCTGTTACACAGACCCTTCAAAGCCAAGTTCAGATACTTACTGTATAAGCCTACCCTCGTTTGTTGCAGTTTCCTTTCAAATATAGTGATCAACATTTTCTTTAACTCT